TGTACAGTGGACTCTCGATAACTGTCGCCGCGACAGTTATCGAGGGTACTGTGCGTTCGCTGCTGCCGTGCTCCGCTCTCCCCACTCCTCCGGCAGGCGAGTCGGGCGAGCCGCCGAAGCCGGCAGTCAGTCCGCATGGAACGCGCTATTTTTCTATAGCTATCTCTCTCGCACGCGACAGTTATCGAGGCGACACTTATCGAGAGTCCACTGTACCGTTTTCAGAGGAACGCCATTTTAATTGCCATCCCATCATATGAGATATCTCATGCGAAAGAAGATCCAACACCCGACACGATGCGCCATCTCTAGAAGAGTGAGAGGCCTCCCTCCTAAGCAAAGCATGCCGAGATTGTTGTTCTGATGCGTCTTTGTTCAGGGGCCGCTTTTAGATCCGCCTTTGTTGCATGGATGCCTCGACATTTTGTACACGTATACATGAACCGCATACATCTCTTGCTCGTTATTCGATTCCGAATCGATACGCAGGGATTGTAAATTCTACAATTTTGTTTGAAATCCATAAACTTAACACTCATGTATTATAGATACAGTACTCAATGTTCTAGAAGTTTTAAACTTTAGTGAAGCCTTACCAAGAATATATTGTTTACTTTTGAAAAATATTCTCTAAAGAAATATTGGTCGATACATGAAGATATATTTATAGATATAGATGGTTAAGACAGTGTGTACATCCAAAACCACGAGTATATTGTCAGTTGTGCAGAGAAGTTCACAACGGAAAATACCGGAAGATACCAATATATTGTTGATGCATTCGGTGCAATAACTGTGCCACCCAGTGAAAACACAAAGTAAGAACGGGGTCAAAATGGAGTCTTCACAAGGTCACTTTGACGTCCAAGTGCGTACCTGGGAGGACCATAGTTTGAAATTTTGAGGTAAAAATGACTCCAATTTGACCTCATTTTAACATAATTTTGACCTGGGCGTTCTCTTAACTGGACGCCAACTGGACTAACACTTCCTTGGACATTATTGTCGAATGTCGTTGACACAATTTACCTCGACACCGCTTAAATCTCAGAATTTTCAAACTCGCTATAACATCTACAAGAACAAGAGGGGTGCTTACAAGTTATTGATAAAATCTTACATTGGGTGGGAATGAAAAGTTCTCCGCTCCACGAGCTGATGGATATAGGTGTTTACTTTAGCACACCAGCCACCTCACAGAAAAGACATTAGCGGCTGAAGACAATAATTAGATGTCGTGGAAAATCACATCAAAAATAATAAAAACAAACAAAAAATACACTAG